ATAATGATGCTGTTAAACTCCTGCATGATAGCCATGCCTCTGTCTCTTTATTGTAATTAACCACAAACAGTGTTTTCATCGTCATATCTGAGATGCCATTTTTCCATGATTACATTCTAGAGATTCCATGTCTGATGCTCCAATTCTGGAGATTTCATGTCACTTGATCCCATTATAGAGATTCTATGTCTGATGATACCATTCTAGAAATTCGTTTTCTGATGTCCCAATCCTGGAGATTCCATGTCACATGGTCATATTCTAGATATTTCCTGTCTCATCCTCATATTCTGTAGATTCCATGTCTCATGATCAAACTCTATAGATTCCATGTCTCATGATCACATTCTAGAGATTCCATGTCATATGATTACATTCCAGAAAGCTCTTTGGGATGTTATAACGATTGAAGAAATACAATTTTTAGGGGAATGAGGTAACAAATTGTTACATTTTTTTAAAACATATTTGTAACAAAATGAAGCTGAATACGCTTAGGAGGTTCATTCATTCCTTCATATGTTCATAAATTGGAGGTTCATTCATTCCTTCATATGTTCATAAATTGGAGGTTCATGCATTCCTTCATATGTTCATAAATTGGAGGTTCATTCATTCCTTCATATGTTCATAAATTGGAGGTTCATTCATTCCTTCATATGTTCATAAATTGGAGGTTCATTCATTCCTTCATATGTTCATAAATTGGAGGTTCATTCATTCCTTCATATGTTCATAAATTGGAGGTTCATTCATTCCTTCATATGTTCATAAATTGGAGGTTCATTCATTCCTTCATATGTTCATAAATTGGAGGTTCATTCATTCCTTCATATGTTCATAAATTGGAGGTTCATTCATTCCTTCATATGTTCATAAATTGGAGGTTCATTCATTCCTTCATATGTTCATAAATTGGAGGTTCATTCATTCCTTCATATGTTCATAAATTGGAGGTTCATTCATTCCTTCATATGTTCATAAATTGGAGGTTCATTCATTCCTTCATATGTTCATAAATTGGAGGTTCATTCATTCCTTCATATGTTCATAAATTGGAGGTTCATTCATTCCTTCATATGTTCATAAATTGGAGGTTCATTCATTCCTTCATATGTTCATAAATTGGAGGTTCATTCATTCCTTCATATGTTCATAAATTGGAGGTTCATTCATTCCTTCATATGTTCATAAATTGGAGGTTCATTCATTCCTTCATATGTTCATAAATTGGAGGTTCATTCATTCCTTCATATGTTCATAAATTGGAGGTTCATTCATTCCTTCATATGTTCATAAATTGGAGGTTCATTCATTCCTTCATATGTTCATAAATTGGAGGTTCATTCATTCCTTCATATGTTCATAAATTGGAGGTTCATTCATTCCTTCATATGTTCATAAATTGGAGGTTCATTCATTCCTTCATATGTTCATAAATTGAAGGTTCATTCATTCCTTCATATGTTCATAAATTGGAGGTTCATTCATTCCTTCATATGTTCATAAATTGGAGGTTCATTCATTCTTTCATATGTTCATAAATTGGAGGTTCATTCATTCCTTCATATGTTCATAAATTGGAGGTTCATTCATTCCTTCATATGTTCATAAATTGGAGGTTCATTCATTCCTTCATATGTTCATAAATTGGAGGTTCATTCATTCCTTCATATGTTCATAAATTGAAGGTTCATTCATTCCTTCATATGTTCATAAATTGGAGGTTCATTCATTCCTTCATATGTTCATAAATTGGAGGTTCATTCATTCTTTCATATGTTCATAAATTGGAGGTTCATTCATTCCTTCATATGTTCATAAATTGGAGGTTCATTCATTCCTTCATATGTTCATAAATTGGAGGTTCATTCATTCCTTCATATGTTCATAAATTGGAGGTTCATTCATTCCTTCATATGTTCATAAATTGGAGGTTCATGCATTCCTTCATATGTTCATAAATTGGAGGTTCATTCATTCCTTCACATGTTCATAAATTGGAGGTTCATTCATTCCTTCATATGTTCATAAATTGGAGGTTCATTCATTCCTTCACATGTTCATAAATTGGAGGTTCATTCATTCCTTCACATGTTCATAAATTGGAGGTTCATTCATTCCTTCACATGTTCATAAATTGGAGGCTCATGCATTCCTTCACATGTTCATAAATTGGAGGCTCATGCATTCCTTCACATGTTCATAAATTGGAGGTTCATTCATTCCTTCATATGTTCATAAATTGGAGGTTCATTCATTCCTTCATATGTTCATAAATTGGAGGTTCATTCATTCCTTCATATGTTCATAAATTGGAGGTTCATTCATTCCTTCATATGTTCATAAATTGGAGGTTCATTCATTCCTTCATATGTTCATAAATTGGAGGTTCATTCATTCCTTCATATGTTCATAAATTGGAGGTTCATTCATTCCTTCATATGTTCATAAATTGGAGGTTCATTCATTCCTTCATATGTTCATAAATTGGAGGTTCATTCATTCCTTCATATGTTCATAAATTGGAGGTTCATTCATTCCTTCATATGTTCATAAATTGGAGGTTCATTCATTCCTTCATATGTTCATAAATTGGAGGTTCATTCATTCCTTCATATGTTCATAAATTGGAGGTTCATTCATTCCTTCATATGTTCATAAATTGGAGGTTCATTCATTCCTTCATATGTTCATAAATTGGAGGTTCATTCATTCCTTCATATGTTCATAAATTGGAGGTTCATTCATTCCTTCATATGTTCATAAATTGGAGGTTCATTCATTCCTTCATATGTTCATAAATTGGAGGTTCATTCATTCCTTCATATGTTCATAAATTGGAGGTTCATTCATTCCTTCATATGTTCATAAATTGGAGGTTCATTCATTCCTTCATATGTTCATAAATTGGAGGTTCATTCATTCCTTCATATGTTCATAAATTGGAGGTTCATTCATTCCTTCATATGTTCATAAATTGGAGGTTCATTCATTCCTTCATATGTTCATAAATTGGAGGTTCATTCATTCCTTCATATGTTCATAAATTGGAGGTTCATTCATTCCTTCATATGTTCATAAATTGGAGGTTCATTCATTCCTTCATATGTTCATAAATTGGAGGTTCATTCATTCCTTCATATGTTCATAAATTGGAGGTTCATTCATTCCTTCATATGTTCATAAATTGGAGGTTCATTCATTCCTTCATATGTTCATAAATTGGAGGTTCATTCATTCCTTCATATGTTCATAAATTGGAGGTTCATTCATTCCTTCATATGTTCATAAATTGGAGGTTCATTCATTCCTTCACATGTTCATAAATTGGAGGTTCATTCATTCCTTCATATGTTCATAAATTGGAGGTTCATGCATTCTTTCATATGTTCATAAATTGGAGGTTCATGCATTCCTTCATATGTTCATAAATACACAGTTCAGAGTTTAGGAGGTTCATTCATTCCTTCATATGTTCATAAATTGGAGGTTCATGCATTCCTTCATATGTTCATAAATTGGAGGTTCATGCATTCCTTCATATGTTCATAAATTGGAGGTTCATGCATTCCTTCATATGTTCATAAATTGGAGGTTCATGCATTCCTTCATATGTTCATAAATTGGAGGTTCATGCATTCCTTCATATGTTCATAAATACACAGTTCAGAGTTTAGGAGGTTCATTCATTCCTTCATATGTTCATAAATTGGAGGTTCATGCATTCCTTCATATGTTCATAAATACACAGTTCAGAGTTTCTTCAAAAACGTGCAAACTTTTAGGAATGAACAAGGGTGTAGTAAACCAAGCCTTGATGTAGACGGGGGAGTAAACCAAGCCTTGATGTATACTGGGTAGAGTGAAACAAGCCTTGATGTATACAGTGGGGGGAGGGAGAGAATGAAACAAGCCTTGATGTATACAGTTGGGGGAATGAAGCAAGCATTGATGTAGACAGGAGGATTAAATCAAGCCTTGATGTAGACAGGAGGAGTAAATCAAGCCTTGATGTAGACAGGAGGAGTAAATCAAGCTTTGATGTAGAGTAGACCCTAATTCGGAAGATGAGCATTTTACGACCTCATCAAAATGGTACCTAGGATAAGAGCAACAGATTCCAAGGATGTAGTATCAAAGCATTTTGCCTTTTTTAAAAATCTTTCAATAAATGGGGAAGAAAGCATATGTTTGGGACTCACCAGGACTGGATATCAAGTTGAAAAACAAAGAAGCTGATTTATTCCCACGCCATATTTGAGTGGTGGTACACCATTTTTGAGGGGTAGTACACCATCTTTGAGGCTAGTACACCATCTGTGATTGGTAGTACACCATGTTTGATTGGTGGTATACTATGTCTGAGTGACAGAACACCTTATTTGACGGTATTTCATCATCCTTGATTAGCAGTACACCATCTTTGAGTGGTGGTACACCAGCTTTTAGTGATAGTAAACCATATTTGTGTGGCAGTACAGAGCCTCTTTTATAATTAACCCGATTGATATTTTTAATCATTTCAAAAGTACGGCCTAAATTTTTACAACACCGTAATGACAATGCTGTCGCTTAAAAACACATTCCTATATATATATATATATATATATATATATATATATATATATATATATATATGAGATAATATATATAGCACACACT